TGCTCAGAGTGAAAGTATTGTAGTGTACGAATAGAACAAGACTAAGGGGTTTAAAATGAAGCCATCTTTGTATATTGATGAGTTTTTAAAAGGGGGGGGGGGGGGGGGGAAGCAAGAAGGTGTGATTATGTTGTCACTTTAAAAAAAAAAAAAGATTATTTTTGTCCTTGGTTTTTGTTTGAAGCAAGGTTGTAAAGGCAGAGGTACCGAACAGTCGAGGGAGTAACTGTTTAACAACGGAAGGGGAGTGGCCAGTTCTCCCAGTTCAGGTTTTTTTCCCCCCACAAGATGTTGCGAGTACCGGGGGGGGTTGCGAGCTTCAGTAAACAATTCCTGACTTTCTCTGAATGTTGTTCCCTCCTGCCTGTAAGAATCTGTTTGAATTTACCTTTTTGACAAGACGTGCGTTTATGGGATGTTACTATATTGGAACAGTTAATTAGTTAAGTTACTGTATCAAGTATTTGGTTACTTTTTCCAACAGCTGTTATACTAAATTCCGCTTTCCTTTGGGTTTTAACTGTACTGCTTAAATAAATTGTGCTTTGCTTAAAGCCAAGTGGTTTGACCAGTTGCATCACACCTGTAACATCTACTTCACATCTACCTTTAAAGTAAGAAAAAGTTAGTCTAGGCTACCTTCTTAAAATATTTTGAGGGGGTCTGGCATGTTCCTCCACACTGAGCAAAGAGACCCAGGGATACAGGCTCATGTTTTCTTGGAAGTGAAGTTGCAGGTAGACAGGGTAGTGAGGATGATGTTCAGTATGCTTGCTTTTATTGGTCAGTGTACTGATAATAAGGAGCTGGGAGATCATGTTGCGCCTCTACTGGAAATTGGTGGGGCCACTTCTGGAATACTGTGTTCAGTTCTGGTCTCTCTACTATAGGAAAGATGTTGTGAATCTTGGAAGGGTTCAGAAAAGATTTACAAGGATGTTGCCAGGGTTGGAGGGTTTGAGCTATAGGGTGAGGCTATTTTGCCTGGAGCTTCAGAGGTTTATAAAATCATGACGGGCATGCATAGGATGATTAGCCAAATTTTTTCCCAGCTTAAGGGAGTCCACAACTAAACGTCATAGGTTTAAGGTGAGGGCAAGATTTAAAAAGGGACCCAAGGGGCAACTTTTTCAAAGAGTGGTGCGTGTAGGCCGTGAGCTGCCAGAGGAAGTGGTGGAGGCTGGTACAATTACAACATTTAAAAGGCATCTGGATGGGTACATGATGAGGAAGGGTTGAGAGAGATATGGGCCAAATGGGACTAGATTAATTAAGGATATCTGGTCAGCACGGATGAGTTGGACCGAAGGGTCTGTTTCCATGCTGTACAAGGCTCTAAATGGAGTACATGGGATGAACGTGAAATCTGTTTTAGCAGGAAGAATAAAAAGGAAGCATATTATTAAACGGTGAGTGATTGCAGAGCGCGAGATAGAGCAAGATCTAGGTGTTCTATGTATAAATCACGAAAGGTTAGTATACAGTTCCAGCAGGCAATTAGGAAAGCCAATAGATTAGAATTTATTGCAATTAGAAATTGCACACCAAAGTAGGAAGGTTATATTTCAGTATACAGGACAGGTCACACAGGTGTGACTACATAAGTGGGTCACCTTACTCGAGGATGATATCTGGAATGAGCGGGCTGTCTTAGGAGAAAAGTTGGAAAGGCAAGAATTGTAGTTCCTGGAGTTTAGAAAAGGAAGAGACAACTTGGTTGAAACCTTAAGGAATCTCTCAACATGATGGATGTGGAAACAATGTTTTCTCCTGAGGAAGTATCTAGAACTAAAGGTCACACTGTAAAAAATAAAGGGGTCACCCATCTAAATCAAATGAGAACATTTGTTCCATCAGAGGGTGGGGAGGCTTTGGACCTCCCTTCCTCAAGAGGCAGTAGATGCAGAATCCTTAGAATTCATGTTTAGGCAGGAATAGATTTATTCTTGATAAGTGAGGGGAATAGGAAGGAACATGGAGTACACCTAATCCTTATTGTCTGCAGGGGAAATAGGGCATGGATCTGCACAGAAGTACAGGTAGCACTACAGTGGGAACTCCCTACCATTGTAGAGGGGCCCAGAAGTGCCATGCGATTCATTGGAGCCTGTCAACGAAGGAAGAAAAGAGGGGGTCTGGGGCACCGTGGATACAACGGGGACCAAGTGTAATCAGATCATTCAGCACCTTATTGCTGCAAAGCAAGCTTGTGGGGCTGAGTGACCCACTGCTGTTCCTAGGTCAATTGTACGTTTTGATGTACGCATGGGACACGTTAGGGATTCAAAGCACTTTGTAAAAATTCCTTCCACAGATCCTAAAAATAATTTAAAAGGGATAGAGAGGTTCACACTAACACACAATCCCCAGGATCTTAGCTACCTTTTGGACACCAATCACAGTTAGGAATTTGTCTAGCTTCAAGCTGAATGCTTGCAGTGAATCTCAACTTGTTCCACGGGTCAACAATTCCCTTTCAATTCGAAGAGAAAGCTGCTCTCATTAGGCCCAGCTCTATGATACATTACAGTGCCGATAAACGAGGGACTGTAGCAGATGAATGTGTGACGCAAGGTCTGCCTGAAGGCAGGTTCTTAGCTCAGTGCTTGCTGATGCTTCATGCTGAACTCTTTCCTCTGAAGTGTGTCATCGATGCTTTGACATGCTCTGCCCGAGTATAGAAGGCAAAGGATACATGTCTATCTCCATCAGAATCACAATCAAACTAATTGTGGTGTTGGTCTTCATTCTGACCTACACAGTAGCCATCAAGCAACTTTAGCTAACCAGCCCATGCAATTTATATACAGATTGAACTTAAGACCCATTCTCCAACCTCCAGGCTCTACCACATGAAGGAGGCTGGTGTGTGCACCTCATTAAAGGCCTTTTGAAAATTAAGATGCACAATATCAACGTGCTGTCTCAAATAATAGCACTTGGAATTCAAACTTCATAGTCGTATAAGGAAAACAATAGCAGAAGAAAGCTGAAAAGATTACAGAGCTGAAAATGTTAATTCTATGTCTATCGCTACAGATGCTGAGTATTTCCAGAGAGTTATCCCTAAAGCACCTGTAATTACGGATAGTGACACAGTAAAACACTTATCAGGAAGGTGCTAAAAGGTGGAAGGGAAAAGACATATTGCAAGGACTGAAACTGCTTTCAGGTCCTGGTCATTCACGTATATGATGGCTTCAAGCAGTGCACAAGATGGCATTTTGCAACAAATTGTGGTAAGGTGCCTTGATGAAGTACCTACCTTCAATCCAACAATACAAAATAAAAGAAAGATTCCCAACATTCCCAGTTGGAATCATTGGCACTTACTGCATTGCAGGCTATTTAGCCCATCAAACCTATGCTCTTTGTAAAAAGGAGTCGCTCTTAATTCCACATCACATTCTTTGCTTGGAAACTCACCTTCAAGTCCCTGTCTGACTCATTTTTAACAATTATTTATAGAATCAGCTTCGACCACATCACCAAGTGTTCCAGATTCTGACAGCTCTCCGTGCGCTAAAAAAAAAATTCTTCCTCACCACCCTTCTAGATCTTTTGTCAATATTTAAAACCTAAGATTAAGGACCTCATTCTGGAAAAAGCTTGTTTTTAATACAAGCAAACAAACAAACACACACGAAAACTCCACTGAAAAGTCACTGAGGAAATCTTTAAAATCTCTCTGTTCCAAGGAGGATCCCTCATCATAAACAGAAGGGTCTTTCTCTGGCAACACTCTGGAAAACCACTTGGAAAACTTTCCAAGACATATACAGTTGCAACTATACAAGGCATAAGTGAGATCATACCTGGAATATTGCACACAATTTTAGTCCCCTTACTTGAGGACTGAGGTGGTTGTACTGAAGGCAGTTTGTTAGATTTATTCCAGGAGATGAGGGGTTTGCCTTGTGAAGAGAGAGTGAGCATTTTAGGCCTATACTCTCTGGAGTTTACAAGAATGAGAGGAGACCTTATTGAGGTAGAGAAGATGCTAATGGGAAATTGACAAAAGAGATGTAGAGAGGATCCCTTGTGGGGCAATCTAGAATGAGAGGTCATAGATTTAGGATAAGGGGTGACAGATATAAAAGATGAGAAGAAATTAATCTGAGTGTCATAAACCTGTGGAATTCACTATCTCAGTGTGGTGGATGCTGGGACAATCAATAAATTTAAAGGAAGAGATTGACGGATTCCTGAATTAGTAATGGGTTGTAGGGTTATGGGTGTGGGCAACAAAGTGGAGTTGAGGCCAACGGAGATCAGCCACAATCGTATTAAATGAAGCAGGAGGGTCAAAGGGCAGAATGGTTTCCTACTACTCGGAGTTCTTATGCTCTGAAGGCACGATACCATAACCAAAACTATTAAATTTCAATTAGAGTTTGAAGTTAAGCCACAGGAGGATTTTAACCCATGTCCATAGAATACTAGCCTGGGCCTTTAGATTACTAGGGCCCAGTGACATTACCATGACATCATTGTTGCCCGGCCTTCATGATTCCAGCAACATTACAATTACAATCCCAGTAAAACAAGCCTTCCATCCATCGACTCCATCTACACTTCCTCCTGCCTTGGGAAAGCAGCCAAAGACCACTCCCACCCAGGTTATACTCTCCTCCACCCTCCTCTGCCAGGCAGAAATAAAGGTTTGTATACACAGATACTAACAGATTCAAGAACAGCTTCCTCGCTGTTATCAGACTTTTGAAAGGACCTCTAATGTTAATGCTGGTCTCTCTCTGCACCTTCTCAGCAGCTGTAACAGTGTATTCTGTGCTCTGTTCTGCTACCCTCTTGCACTTTGTACAGAACAATCTGCCTGTATAGCAAGTCAGACCACTCTTCACTATACTTTGGTACACATGACAGTAATAATTCAAATCAAATCATTGCTTGCTGGTTGCACTGTCTTGATGGTTTCAGACCATTAGGAATGCAGCAAACTAAACACTCCCCTTCCCCAAGGGATGGGCGTTGGAACTTACCGAATGGTATCGAGCAGGATGTCAATGAAGAAGGTGTAGCTCTCAGCAGGAATGTTTCCCTTTGCCAGGAAAACTTTGTTGTAGCTGCCTTCCATTAGATACTGAAATACAGCAGACAGGAACATTACAGACCCTGTGGGGTGGGGAAGAGGCAACTTTTGCTTAAAGTTGAGTCACCTCATCACCATTTTGCTTTCTTCTTAAAGCAGCCACTTAAAAACATCAACATTTGGGACAGAGCCATATAGCACAGAAACAGACCCTTCAGTCCGACCAGTCCATGCCAAACATAATCCCAAAATAAACTAGATCCACCTGCCTGCACTTGGCCCATATCATTCCAAACCTTCCTATTCATGCCCCAAGTGTCTTTTAAATGTTGTAACTGTGCCCACATCCACCACTTCCTTCGGAAGTTCATTCCACACGTGAACCGCCCTGTGTAAATAACTTGCCCCGAATGCCTTTAAAATCTCTCCCCTCTCACTTTGAAAGCATGTCCACTCGAAATCCCCTACACTCAGGAAAAAGACACCTGCCATTCACCTTATCCATGCCCCTCACAATTTTATAAGCCTCTAGAAGGTCACCTCTCAACCGCCTACGCTCCAGGGATTAAAAAAAGTCCCAGCCCATTCAGCCTTTCTTTACAATTCAAACCTTCTGTACCCAACAATGTCCTGGTAAATTTCCTTCGGCCACATCTGAAGATTTCACCGAATTTCTACATGTTAGGGGACCCTGGACTGGGGCCTGAATGCCAGCAACAAAAAAAAAAAACAAAAACGTAGCAACAATTAGGTGGGTCAAAACAAACATTTCTGGACCACCTCGTTGGTCCAACCCCATCTGCTTCGACCCCATTGCTGTGTCGAGCCTGCTCTGTTATTCAATAAGATTACTGCTTGGTGTGATGGCGGCCTCAATGTTCCTACCTACCCGTGATAAACTGTCCCCACTGCCCTCAAGTTAGGCAAAAATCTATCTCCTCCTCAAAAATATTTAGTAATCTGGCTCCCTGGGAAGGCAGCTGTAAAGATTCCCAATCGTCAAAACAAAAATTCATCTCCGTTTTAAAATAGAAGACCCCCTATTTTCCAAACTATGGCCCCTAGTTCTAACTTCTCCCACAAAGGGAAATATCCTCTCAGCATTCACACTGCCAAAGAGCTCATGTTTCTGCAAAATCACTGCTCATCTCTGCCGGACATAGGTGCAGCAAATCTGACCTTCCTTTATTTAAACCTCCTTTACTCTATCGCCAACGCATACATCAGTCACGGTAGCCTCAGTACAAAGGCTTTGTTTCCTTGTAAAATGTCATTATTCATTAGGTACAAACTAATTAGTGATCCACACACAAACCAATAGATATTTTCATTCCATAAACATTAGTGCAAGGAACTATTTTTAAAATACAATAATATTTGTAACAAAAACGGAAGTTGCTGAAAAAGCTCAGCAGGTCTGGCAGCATCTGTGAAAAAAAGGTCAGAGTTAACGTTTCGGGTCTGGTGACGAATCCTCAAAAAAGTGTTATCCAGAACGCCACCACCCTACCCTCAGTTATTGTATAAAATGCCGACACATCATTCTGAAGTGATTATCAAGAAGCAGCTGAAGGTTACAGTAATTTCTCCTTCAGTGCTTTTACACTGAGCACATTCAGAGCTGGGGAAGCTCCCAGCCTCTGCAAGTTGCAGCCTACATCAAGGCATGTTCCAATTCGGCTCCAACTATTTCTACATGTTTAACTGGCAGTTTAGCATCAACAGGTTTCCAAAGGCTCATGACATCAGGGATATAGAGATAGTCTACCTGAAAGTGCAGGAAGGCAGCAATCAACTGAGACCTGATTGAATGGCAGGGGTGGCCCAATGGGCTGAATAGCCTAAACCTGATGCTATGCATGGTCGGATAAAGGGAAGGCGATGGCCTAGTGGTATTATCTGGTATTAACCCAGAGGCCCAGGTAATGTCCTGGGGACTTGGATTCAAATCCCACCAATGCAGATGGTGGAATTTGGATTCAATAAAAGTCCGGAATTAAGAGTCTAATACTGATCATGAATCTATTGTCGATTATTGGAAAAACCCACCTGGTTCACTAATGTCCTTTAAAAAGGAAGTAAACTGCCATTCTTTCCTCGTCTGGCCTACCTGTGTGACTCCAGACCTACAGCAATACGGTCAACTTTTAACTGCCCTCTGGACAATAAATGCTGCCTGGCCAGAGACATCCTCATCCCAGGTGTGAATAACCAAACAGGAGTCAGTCTGATTACAAGTGGTAGGATGATGGGATCGGACCGGTTCCCCTATATCGGCCTCAGGCATGGCAATGCTTCACGCTAGCCCGGGGCCTACTTGACGGAGCCCTACGTACCAACCAATGATCCGCTGAACAGGTCAAAATCCTGGAATTCCCTCCCAAACAGCAGTGTGGGTCAACCCACTGCAGCGGTTCAAGGTGGCAGCTCACCACCACCCTCTGAAGGTTAACTAGGGATGGGCAATAAATGGCCAGCCAGCAACACCCACAACCCATTAATGAATTATATACAAAAAAAAACTTTCAGAACTGCTGCTAACTGCTATGTGGCCTAAGGGGCACTTTTAAACTAGCGACTACTGTAATGTGGCAAATGTGGCAGCCAATTTACACAGGAATTTCCCACAGGCAGCACTGAGAGAACAGTTTTAGTGATGTACGTTCAGAGGAAAATAATGGCAAGGAGAATGGAGAGATCTATTTGGCTCTTTGTCAGTTGGAACCTGAGCATCATTGACATCCCACTGAACAGGTAGTTGGGGCTTCAGCTCATCTGAACAGCTTGTGCGAAAGATGATTTTCTGACAGCGCATCACTCCTGGAGCACTGCACAGCAGGATGAGTCTGGATCATTGCTCTGGAAGGAGTTTGAACCCTTAACAGCACAACCCATTGGGAACAACTGATACATCTGAGCCAGCAACTCAGCTCTTCAGAGGTGACAGCATGTGTTTAACTCCATTAAAATGCCTGTCAACCATCAACAAGTCAGGAGCATGATGGAATACTCCCATTTTGCCCAGATGAGTGCAATCCCAACAACATACAAGAAGCTTGACACCATCCAGGATAAAGCAACCCGCTCGACTTGCATCATATCCACTCCCTCCACCATTGGCACCGAGTGCCAGTGTGTGCTACGTACAAGATGCATTGTCGAAACTCACCGCAGTTCCTTCAACAGTATCTTCCAATTCTGTGGCCTCTGCCAGAGGGCAGCAGACACAGATTTAAACGTTTCCCTCAAGGCCACACTTGAACTATGCCACCATTCCGTCACTGTGGTCAAAACCTTCAGACACTTTTCCTAAAAGCACTGCGGGTGCCCCTCTACCTCGCGGGTTGTCAGTGGTTCAAGACAGCGGCTCACCACCACCTGCGAGGGATGGGTAACAAATGCTGGCCATCTGCCGATGCCCACATTCCTCATTGAAGACACACCGAAACGCTGTCCTGCCATGTTCCCAGGCAATCCCCTGGCCGTGCATACCTGCTCAAGTGAGACCGGGTGTTTGATGTAGACGTTGGTCTGGATGTCCCTGGCAGGCAGTCGCTCCAGTTCGGTGTGGAACTCAGCCACACGATTCTGAGACAGAAGGAACAGCAGGTTCAGACCCAAAAGCTGGTGCTTGTAAGCCGACTCTGGCAATTCATCCCTGCAATGACAAAAAGACGGGCATCAAATCCCCAGGCAGCTGGGCATTAAGATCGCTGCACCTGCCATAGGCTATGTTAGCATTGTGGCTACATTTCTGGGCTGACAATGCACCCGCAGGGTGAATGACCTGAAACCGCAAGTCCAAATGGTCATTACAGCCCCTGGGGAAACATATTTCAATTAATTACATTTCTGAACAGCGGAACTCGGCAGCAGCGATGAACAAAAGAATTACAAATCAGTGAGTCTCACATCAGTGACACAGAAACTACTGGTGAAAATTCTAAAGGAGAGAATTAATCTCCACTCAGAGGTCAGGTTTGATCAGGGAGAGTCAGCATGGCTGTGCCAGAAGTAATGCCCAACAAACGCGACTGAATTTTTTCAAGGATGTGACCAGGATGAGGGTTGTGCAGACGATGTTGTTTATACAGATTTCAGAAAGCCCCACATGGGAGACTGATAAAGATGGCAAAAATAAACACGTGGGATCCAGGATAATTCGGCAAGTTGGACCCAAAACTGGTTTAGCGGTTGGAGACAGAAGGTAGTGGTAAAATGCTATTTGAGAGACTTGAGCCCAGTGTCCATTGGAGTATCACAGGGATCAGTGCTGGGTCCACTATTGCTTGTGATATATAAATAAATGATACAGAAGGAAACATGGCAGGGATGATAAGCAAGTTTGTGGACGGTGTGAAGTTTGGCTAGGTGGTTGAAGCAAGGAAGGAGGTCTCAGGTTACAGGAGGATGTACACAGATTTGTCAGATCAGTGGCAATCACCACAGGCCCACTTCAGAAATGGTACAACTACAGTGGGGCCACCATGCGGCCCATTCCCTCACACCCCCCAACTCCCCAGCATGGTCAGTGCTTGCACCCCTCAGTGCCAATTACACTTCAATCAAGTTGCCCCTTACTCTTCCAGTGGGCACAAGCCCCCAGACGGTATCAAGGAAAGATCACAGTCAGTCCTTTCCAGGGGTTAGTCTGGTAATTAGCTCCTCTCCACTTGCCTGAATCGCACTTTTTAACCATCATTAACAGCTCAATTAGACCAGTAGTTCATTCTCTACGTTCAAGTGACTCCAAATCACATCTTCATAACCCGAGCCCATAACTTAACCCATTCAGGCACAGTGCCATTCGGCGCCACCTACTTGTAGTCGAAGTAATAACACTTGAGCTGTGCCATGTAACGCTCAAACGATGGGATATCCTTCTTCAGGATGCTCCATTGGGCTCCAATTTCCAAAACGTCCCCTTTATAAAAAAAAAAGGAGAAAAAATAAAAATCACTCAGACACGCGTTCTGTTTGATAACCAACGGACAAATGGGTGCAAATTCAGAAAAGGAGAACCTTTTAGGCAGGCAGTCCTCATTCGCTCAGCTCACCAATAGTACCAGCACGCTCCAAGATCCTGCTACCATCCTGCCGTGTGGTGTCGTTCAGGGGGCTGACTAATCTTCAGATGCATTTTGAAGAGGGAGGCAGGAAGGGGCTGAGAAAAGGGGCCCAATACACTGGCCACACCACCCTATATCAAGAATGTATCAGAACTGACAACGAGATTCCTACGATCACTAGGAATCATGGTAGCACACAAATCCAGTCACACTATGACAAACACTGACGAGGACCAAAGACCCCATACCCATGACATACAGGACCAATGTAGTTTACAAAATACCTTGCAACAGCTGCAACAAACATTACATCAGCCAGACCAGAAGGAAACTACCCATCAGGATACACGAACACCAGCTAGCAGCAAAAACAGCACAACAAACTTCCCCTCATCTCAGCGCACTTGGACAATGAAGGCCATCAATTTAACTGGGACACGTGACCATCCTAGCTCAAGCCAAAGACACGCGTGGATATTCCTAGAAGCCTGGTTTTCAACCCGTAATGCAATCAACAAACATGTGGAATTAGACCCCATATACAAACCCACGCAGAACTGGAAATGACACAACCCAACCTAACAGGCCAGATCATATCAATACCAAGCAAAGTAGAACAAGATCACGTCATCGGAGGCCTCACTGCTGATGTTACCTAGCATAGTCATGACACATCTGTATGGTAACCAGCCTGCTCAGGAACAAGCCAACAACCTAACAACCTCAAAAAAATGCTTTTCATACTTTTTTTGTCTGGCACACATCAGGACATAATTGAAGAATTCCAAATCAGAAAGGAAACAGCAATTTCAACTGCAGGAGAGGAGGGTGCTGATTGATTGGCAAGGGGATTCTGACTGGGAGAAGCATTACCACTGAGAATGTACCTACAGAGTTACTGGAAACTAGGCAAATCAATTCTGATTTGCCATGGAACTACCACAGGGAATGCACCAGAGAATAGCTGCCCCCAATGCTTTCACTCAGTTGAGGAACTTTAAAACGAAAGCAAGTGGCTGTGGACACTGGATGTCTGAATACCAAATTTGAAAGACTCAACAATAGCTAGGTCACATTTGATCACAAGTGAAAAGAGAAATTGCTGGAAGAACTCAGCAGGTCTGGCAGCATCCATGGAGAGAAATTGGAGTTAACATTTTGGGTCCAGTGACCCTACTTCAGAACTTAATTCAGATTTATTTTAAAGAGCCCTGTGAGACTTTGTGCAATTTTTTTTAAAGCTGAGGTAGATTCCAGCCCACAAACCTATAATCTAAACCACAAATCTATAATTATTTCATGGGAAAACAGGCATTGTTGGTGAGGCCAGCAAATGTTGTCCATCCCCTCACTGCCCTTGAAACTGAATTTTTAACTTGACGATTTCAGGGGGCAGTTAATAGTCAGTTACATTGCTGTGGATCTGAACTCATGCAGGCAAGATCTTATCTCCTAAAGAGCATGAGGAAACCAGATGTCACAGCCGTTTTCAATTCCAGATTTTTAAATTCAGTGAACGTAAATTGCACTGTCTGGCATGGTGGGATTTGAACCTACAGCCTGGATTTTCCGATGGCCAGCCAATCGTTTCTCAAGTATACCCTGGAATTGCTCACTGGGATCCCCACAGAATCCCCATCACAGCACACTCCAAGGTGGTAATTTACTCATGCTTGGAACCCTCCAAAAGTTTCCTTTAAAATCTGAGAATTTGGAGGGCTTTGCTGCTGATAAATAAATCATTACTCAAGAGACAAGATGACAATTAAAAGTCTAGGTTAACTCCTACATAGCCATTAAACCAACTGATCATCTCCGCAGTAAACATCACCAATAACCCCTTACATCTCAGTCAGCCCTGGCACTGATAACAGCAGCTGTCAAAATGTCTGCTGGGTTTCTAAATCACGATCACAATGATGAAAAAGGGGCACAGTTCATTTCCCAATCACTATTTCTGCAGGATCCAGGATTGAAATCTTCTAGGAGAGACGCAGGCTCTTTCTTAACATCAAAGATAAAAAAGCTGGAGTGGAGTGACCACTCACCACTCCTCAGAACATCCAGCCCCAGGCCTCCAGAACATTTGCCTGGGGCTCTGGATTACCCTTCAAGTGACATCTCTACTACACCACTATCTCCTCTGTCACTCGCAGTGCAATCCCATGTTGTACTGATGGCACTGCCTTGGGTTTCAGGCCATTGGCTGTCCTTCAAACAAAATCTCTAATAACGCCTTGCATGCTGCAGGTGTACAAGTCTTGATAACAGTCACTGATCGTATTAGTCAAATACCAAGGCTACTCACCTATGGCAGACATTTAAGACAAAGCAACTTTGAGCACCTCATTGTCAAGAGGATATCAAGGCTTTGAAGAAGTTAGAATTTAGAAGAATGGCGGGGGGGGGGGGGGGTGGAAAAAGAGAGTCTTCTGGAAACAAAATTAAAAAGGGAACGGATAAGATAGAAGCAGGAAGGCTGTTTCCACTGGCAGGTGAAACTAGAACTAAAGAGCATAGCCTCAAAATAAAGGTGGGGGGGGGGTAAGGGGAGCGGTGGGGAGGCAGATTTAGGAGTTGAGGAGGAACTTCTTCACCCAAAGGGTTGTGAATCTGTGGAATTCCCTGCCCAGTGAAGCAGTTGAGGCTTCCTCATTGAATGTTAAGGCAAAGTTAGATTTTTGAACAGTAAAAGGATTAAGGGTTTATGGTGAGTGGGTGGGTAAGTGGAGCTGAGTCCATGAAAAGATCAACCCTGATCTTATTGAATGGCAGAGTGGGCTGGAGGGGCCAGATGGCCAACTCCTGCTCCTATTTCTAACGTTCTTAAGTTGGCAAAGGTTGCTAGCAGCGTTTGAAGCTGTCAGCAACAGTGAAATGACTAAATGTTACAGTCTGAGAAAGGAGTGAGAAATGGGTTTTTTCATAAACAAAGTCAATAAGATTCTCAGTCATAGAGTCATGGAGTTACACAGCATGAAAGAGACCCTTCGGTCCAACTTGTCCGTGCTGACCAGATATCCTATATAAACCTCATCCCATTTGCCAGCATTTGGCACATATCCCTCTAACCCCTTCCTATTCATGTACCCATCCAGATGCCTTTTAAATGTTGTAATTGTACCAGCCTCCACCACTTCCTCTGGCAGCTCATTCCATACACGCACTACCCTCGGAAAAAGTTGCCCCTCAGGACCCTTTTATATCTTGCCCCTCTCACCTTAAATCTATGCCCCTCTAGTTTTGGACTCCCCCACCCAGGGGAAAGACCTTGTCTATCTACCCTATACATACCCCTCATGATTTTATAGACCTCCATAAGGTCACCCCTCAGCCTCCGACGCTCCAGGGAAAATAGCCCCAGCCTATTCAGCCTCTCCCTGTAACTCAAACCCTCCAACCCTGGACAACATGCGAGTAAATCTTTTCTGAACCATTTCTAGTTTCACAACATCCTTCCTATCGGAGCTTTGCCCACAGCAGAAAAGCCAGGAGAGACTTATATAAAACATGCAGTAGCCCAGCACTGTATTCTCAACTCTGTACACTGCACATTAGCTGGAATGTCAACACTGTGCATATGTTTTTAAAACTACTGCAAAAGCAAACTAGATATATGCCACCACAGAGCAAAGACAGGAAAACTTCACCTAAAAGTATTTTCTACACAAACTGAAAGGAAAAAACCCATTTTGTATCAGGTTGAACTGAGCAGCTTAGTACAAAGTAAAAATACTTTCTTTTGCATGAAAAGGAGTCACATTGGACATAAAAACAGAAGTTGCTGGAAAAGCTCAGCAGGTCTGGCAGCATCTGTGAAGAAAAAAAAAAAATCAGAGTTAACGATAAGGGTCTGAGGAAGGGTCACCAGACCCAAAACACTAACTCTGATTTTTCTTTGCAGATACTGCCAGACTCGCTGAGCTTTTCCATGTTTCTGTTCATGGTTTATTTGAGTATGCCCTTACATTTCCAGCAATTTGTTTTTGTTCCTGATTTACAGCATCTGCAGTCCTTTTGGATCATATTGAACATAAATTGTTTTGCAATCCACAGATGCTGTCTGACAGAGTTTCTGCAGCACTGGTTTTATTATACATTTTTTTTAAAAATCTAGTTCTGTAGGGGTGATATTTCCATTATTGTTCCAGGCCGATGATACTTACGGGCTAGAATGAGCTGTCGCTTGGTCAGCTTGGAGCCTGACGTAGGTAAAAAGTTCAGTTCCAGCAGAGCCACCTGAAAATGAGAAGTGTGTCAGTGCGGTGAAAAGAGCTGGAAGCAGGATGTGCTGTGGTGGATGTTCTTCAGGCGGCTTAGAGATGGGAATAGTGATATCACGACCAACCACCAAACCAAGGTGTGTCATCATCATCAGTGAGGGGGATAGCTGCCATACCCACAGAGGTCAAGGACACATCAGTGCAAGGAGGGCAAGAGGATCGCATCAAGAATGAGGGCAAGAGGGCTTCAAGTCCCCCACAATTAGCCCATCCCAACTTCAATCCAGCCCCCACCTGCGCTGGGCTTCTTCCTCCATGTTTCTCTCCGCCCAGGGTCTCTCCCATTCTGCCCCCCCACATCCTCCTCCTCCCCCCATTCCCCCACACCCTCCTTCTCCTCCCCCCATTCCCCCACACCCTCCTTCTCCCACTCCCCCGCGCCCCCCCCACACCCCGATCC